TTCAGCAGCATGCATGTTTCCAGAGAATGCCGCATTGCTCCTGGGCTGCTCTCTGTATAATGAAGCAGAATTAAGATGGAAAAGCACACTGTCATCGTCCTGTGTGCTGTCACCAGCTGTGCATGTGCTGGGGCCAGTTCCAGCATGGGGATGGAAATGGTTTGGCTGCGTGCAGCTTTTCAGCTGCTGGCCCAAACGGAGCTGGAGCTGGTGTCAGTAGAAGGCTGTAGCCAGCTGATGTGAAACCAGTTGGCACTTTCTTTTCCTCCTAAGGTGTTTTGAGTCCTACCTCAAAGAAAGAACTGACAGCACCGTTAGCAGTCCTCTTGACAGGATCAGGCAGGCCCAGGCATTAGAGCAAATTACCATGATAACTAGCAGTTTGGCTCTGCAGGAGTTGTTTTTCCACAACAACCAGGCGCCTGGGTCTTGCAGTTCATGCAGGCCTGTGTGGTGGGTGAATGGGGGCTTTGGTGCCCAGAGTTGAGTTAATGCTCAGGTGATGTGAGAAAAGGAGGTGACAGGAATTGGGGAGGAGGGGGGCAGAAGTGGTAAGAGTCTGGTTTTATAGAGCTTTGCTTTATTTTTGTTTAATTAGGGAGGATAGTGGAGGCTTTGCAATGTAATCAAAAAAACAGGGAAGAAATACTGACCAAATTCCTAGTTTGGCACAGTACCTTGGAAAGGTGAAACATTTTAGGGAGTTGAAACCTCTTTGAAAATGTGAACCTCTTTAAAAATGGGAAGAGCATACTTTGAAAAGAGGGATCTTCAAAGGTAAAACTTGCTGTCTTTTTCTTTTGATTGTATGTCCCTTCTGAGGAATCATTTTTAATCTCATGGTGTTTGTTTGTTTGTTTGTTGTTCCCTCCCTCAGAGCTTTTGTGGATGCCCGTGTTCAGCCTATATATGGTGGTACCAATGAAATAATGAAAGAGCTTATTGCTAGAGACATTGTCAGTGACAAGTAGGGCAGATGCTCGCTTCTTTGGAGTCTTCAGAATCCTTCTGTATTAATATATGGCATAAAATCGGACATCAGACTGTAAGTAAAATAAATGTGGTGTATCGTAGTCTTTCAAGGAAGTGACACTATTTAAAAAGTGTTGGTAACAACAGTGTGCTCATATGCAGGATACCTAATATTTAATGAACTTTCGATTTAAATATATCTGGGCAACACAGAGCAATTATCTGGATCCCAAATAATGTGTCTGGAACATTATGCGTAGCTCAGTCTTTCACACTTGGTGCCATTATATGGAAGCCAACCCTTGCTTTTTCAGAATCAAATCTCTTCTCCAGAGAAGCTACGTTCTTAACAAATACACAAAGAGTTAAATGCTAATATAACTTTGAATTTGTATTTCCACTTGACAAATATCACTGTGTCAAAGTATAACTTGAAACTTTTGCTACCGTTACTGTACACCTGCCTACTGCCCAGCAGCCACCTGCTGTAGGAGGAGGGAATGTACAACCGGCCCCTATGTTTACATGTAACCCAGAATGCCTTATTTCAATTACTTTGTTGAAATAAATATAATAAAGGATTTCTATGCAATGGGATGGCTGTCTGTGGTGCTTCAAAGCCCCAGGGAGAACACTTCCTCTGTGCCCATATTCACCTCAGGGCGCTGATGGGGAGTTTTGAGAAAGGGCAGGTGGGGCTGGTGAATATTTTCAAATATTTCCAAGTGCTTATCCCCAATAAAAATAAAAAAAAACAAACAAACAAAAATATTTTTTTTTAGATCATTTATGCATACTGGGGGTTACACCGTCACCCCCCTCCCCT